AGTTGGAGGGGGCTCTTCCACTACGCAAAACCATGTTAATTTTTTTTCTTAATTAAAATGTTACATCCACATCACACACTTTGTGTGTACAGCTCAACTTCACACACAATCACACGTGATGCATTAATTCGCTTTTTTAAAGAACTTTTTTTCTACATTGTTTTAGAAAAGACAAAAAACCGACTGGAGAAGTTTGGTAAAAATGTCTCAACGCTGCAGCGGTACTTTGTGTCCAACATGATCATGGCAGCGTGCTGGCTGCACACTTCCACGCATAATGCACATGAGCGACGGCAAAGGCGAGCAGCGACATCTGGAAATTACACACCTTGGCAGCTTTGTTGACTTTGTCTTCATTGCCACGTTTGTGAACAAACACAGAAGCGGGCTTTCCATCCTGGAGCACCGCCGAGTACATGGTGGGTCCGGTGGGCAGAGTCAGGAGCGGCTCCTCCAGGGTGCAGCGCCGCACCGCGCTGCTCTCCGCACCCATGACCGCGGTCGTTCTTTATGAGCAGCCACTCAGGTCATAAACTAAGCAAGCCAGGCGTGATACGTGGCAGTGCGAGTGCCTGTCAGTAATGAAACAGAAACGAGTACTTGTTATAGAGTTAAGTTGACATACCGGTACCTGTTTCAGTAAACTGGATGCACCACTTAGTGACAAGTTAGCTAACGTCAGTTGCCTAGCAGGCTAACCTTAGCACTACGTTAGCAAGCTTGTCATTGCTGCCCTTGTCGGTAGCTTTTCCGCCTCCAAACAACCATGCCAGTCGAAGTGTACCACAGATTAATTCAACGAGTTTTGCGAACTGCTTTAAAAGTAAAAAAATAAAAATAAATCCCGTTTCCTTCTTGTCAAATCACCGATGCTAACGTGGAGCAAGAGCTGCGCTGTAAACAAGGACCTTTCCGGTAAAAGACGAAACCACAGAGGAGGGGTTGGTACTTACTTGTAATTACTCACTTGGTTGAATAACTTAATGTTTTTCAACTTTATTTTCAACAGATACAGGTTTCAAATCCCTTCATCATAAAATAATTCGTTAATAGGTTTATTTGTTGTTGATACATTGATACAAAAGAACGAACACCCCTCCCCGTAAGCTAATGGTTGCGACTAAAGTGGTGCGAGATAACGCAAGTAATCAGCGGAGAGTTGAGCGCCATATGGTGAGTGAAGTGAAAATGGAAACTGTCACTATCTGTCTTAATGAAACTCTGAAAAGCACACTGTTTCATTCTCAGCAAAAGCGGGTGTGCTGTCCATAATGTTAGGGTAACACATAGGTATAAAAGTTAAAATCACCTTAAGTCTTAAGTGTATATTTATTTTCTTATTCCTTAGTTATATATATATTTGTTAGGTTTTTTGCACTGATGTAACCGGAGCTTCGTCACTGGATATAGCGGAGATGACAATAAAGTTTACTTTGACTAAAAAGCTGTCAAAGCATAGTTTCATAGTTCATTCCGGTTTCATTCCGGCAGCTGTGGCTACAACTGTAGCTACCTCCACCAGTGTGTGAATGTATTATTATTATGATATGCATAATATACGAGACTCCCAAACACAGCAAGGTTAAATAAAAAAAACCATATAAACACTACCAGTTCACGTAAAGCCATCATGGGATGGTAAATATAAAAATTTGCATCCCAAACTTTATTTCTATGTTAGTGGGGTTCTTAATATATATATATATTTAATATATATATATATTTATATAAAATATATATATATATTTCTGATATGCTTTACATTGCTTGTTAATTAAAACTGCTTCCATCTTTACCACCACCACCACTACTGGATTTTTGGAATTAATACTAAAGGCTGCAGGGTTGTGTTGTGGTTACCAATGTCACCTTACAGCAAGAAAGTGTTGGTTTCCCCAGTCAAGTCTGTCCCGTATTCAGGAAGTGAAAATAAAATAAACAATAAAAGGTGAATCAAATGGACCATTACGGCAAGGCTGGGATGGTCAATTTGGTAAAGTAAATCCGTTGGGCATCTTTCTTTGCCTTTAGACAACAATTCTGATGGCAAAAGAGCCAAACGGGACAGGCAAAAAAAAAATAAAAAAATAAAAAAATAAAGTGTTGGTTTCAAATGTTCTCCCTGGGTCCTCTGGCTTCCCTAAGCAATCCGAAAACATGTATGCATATGAGAGAGTGAACTGTTGTCTGTCCCTCTGACAGACTAGTGACCTGTCAAGGCTGTATCCTGTCTCCCATCCTATGTCAGCTGGCATATGATCTAGCCTCACCATGACAGCAAATTGCACAAGTCAAAGTGGAGGTGTGAAGTAACAAAGTACAAATATTTTGTTACTGTAAGTATGTAGCCTTTGCAGATATATGTACTTTACATAAGTATTATTTTTTTTCTAACAACTTCTTACTTTTACTACCTATGTTTTTAACCAAATGTCTGTACTTTCTACTCCTTACACTTTCAAAACAGACTCGGTACTTTTGGTTTAAGACATTTGAGGGGAGTTCTTTTTTTTTCATGTCAGTGCGCATCTTCAAACATCAAACTTTCAAAATTTGAGCCTCAACAGCAACACATGAAAGGCAATCTTACTGGTGTATTATTCACAACGATATGTCACATAAAAAGAGACGAAAGAGACCATAATCAGGGGTTAAAATGCCAAAAGGTGATTGCCTGCCAAAAACTGATTTCCGGTATTTGCTAAAAAAGTGATTGCCTGTATTTAAATTGCCATAAATAACTTGTTGGCTTATAATATCTAAAACATATGTCAAATGTATCCCTCATGAACGATATCAAGTCATCTTGAGCCACAAACAACATTCCTATCTCAACGTAGAAACTTTTATATATCCTTTATTTATCCAGTTAAAAAGTCTAATTCACATTAACAAATGTCTTTTTAGGAGTAATCTGGCCAAGAAGACAGCAGGAATTGCAACAAATATAACAATAATTCTATAAAGATACTTCCAAAATGGACCAGATTGGTTACAATGTAGATACAGTAACCCAGAGTCATAAAGATACTTGAAAAACATGTATTTTTTTAATTCTATAAATAACCCCTTTGTAAATACTTTGTAAATCCTGTTCACTAAAGTCTATTGACCAATATTTACTTATAAAGACATGACACAAAAAAAACCCCACATCGAAACATTGGAAATCAATTTTTGGCAGATAACCACTTTTCGGCACAACACAGGAATGGGTGCACATGTCCGTAAGTTGCAGTTGCTGTACTTCAGCATCTAGTTAGCACTACAGAAGAGGACCAAGAGAAGCATAAAAGGAGTGATATTTTTTTAAGTAGCAGGTAATTTCAAATGCAACGTTTTTGTCACCTCAAGAAATGTCAGTAAACACACAAACTGTTTGTGTGTGCAGTTTGTCACACTGTGTGTCTGCTAGCTAAAGAAAGGTAGAGCTGCTGTGAAGATGTTAATTTTACTCAGAGGTGGAGAGCGATAAAGACAGGGCAGGAGAGGAAGAAGAGAGGTTATATTTAACCTCTGCTCGGTGGTGTTTGATAAACTGGAAATTTGAATATCAGGTTTGTACATATTATGTTATTTTTTTCATGTTGTAAAACGTGCTGGAAAAAAAAACTGACACAGACTAACCGTGTTATTTAAAGGTTGCATGAAAATATGGAGTTTAGTGCAGGATAAGCTGGTTCGCTTGCAGTAATGTGATGGAATTTAAATAAAGCGTTGTGTTAGATTGGTGCAAAGTGGCTGTGGTCTTCAGAGTTAGGTTACATTAAGTATTGCAAAGATGAATTTGAAGGTAAGCTGATTATACTTGGAGTCATTCACTGAATTCCACCTTCATACTGTTTAGTATAACGACAGCATAAACTGTGTCAGTGTAGAGGATGGAACAGGACAACTCATGAAACACCTGCTCACATCTTGTTAAATTCAGTTGTGTTAATTCACAAAGAGCAGTAAACCTCAGAGCAGCAGCAGCCCAGATCATCTGATCACAGCCTGTACACAAAAGAAGATCTACAAGAGCTCACAATAGAAATTGCGATTCTTTTCCCCACGCTGAGCCACTATAACTGATTTTAGGGTTCCACCACGTGCTGAATCCCGCTTTAACCCTGGGCTATACTCATCTTCTGTTTAGAGGCAAAATCGCCCTCTACAATGTAGGCGACAGAAAATAGATCTCTTTTAAAAAAAATGTTCCTTCTTTTGCGCATTTTCTAGGGAATAAAAATCACACATGTTCTTTATGAGTATAAATACAGAGTGCAAAGTTACATTAAAAAATTTATTTAGGAACTTTCCAGCAATGTGTTTCACAAGTTTAAAGTGAGGTTAACTTAAGGTGAAGACCTCACTTGACTCTCCCCTGCTACATGTGATGAGAGAACTGTGAACAGTGGAGTCAGAGCAAACTCTGCTGGGCAAACACTGTCATGACACAGCTTCAAAATGATCTTTTCTGTCCTATTTTCTGTATCTGTGAACCAAAATGTCAGTCTGACTCTGTGTTGGTAACACGAGGATGTTGAGTTTTATCAGCGCCATGTTAATCAGTAATTAAGAGAAGCTGATGATTTTTTCTACCACTTGCAGTGGAGGTAGTGTTACAACATAACACACACTTTGTTTGAAGAAATATGCAATAAATATTTAACAAAAGCACAAATTTAATAAGTGAAATATTCACTCTGTTGGTATCACACTTGCACTGCTTTAAAACTCTCACTGTTTTCATCTTCAGGAAATAGTCAAACCTCCTCCTAGCTACTGACAATTCTTCACACAGCAGCAACCGAAAACACACCTTCCTCACAGGAAGCGACGGTTTTGATCAGATCAGAAATGAGTTTAGTTGCCTCAGCAACTAACCAGCAGACACACACACACACACACACACACACACACACACACACACACACAAAGAAAAGAAAAAAAGCCACCCACTCACATTCAAGTTTTATGCTGTCAGAAGGAACCAAAATGGATGAGCTCGGTAAGAACTTTCTGTCATGTTTTACCTTCATGAATGTCCTCAAACTAATCGATGGTACAATTTAAACTGAGGTCGAAACTGTTAGCAAAATCAGGAGTTGGTGTGTTGACACCATGACATCAAGCACAGCCAGTGCTTATGGAGTATTACCACAGTCTTGTGTGTTCTCAGACTGATTTATACAGCAGACTCTGAGTACAATATTTAATGCACTCAATGATCCAGCTCATTAGAAGGAATTTGTCTACCACTGTTCTTGTGTTTTACCTCTGATTCTAGGGCTCTACATGTAGCGATTCACTACAAATCAAATACAGTGTAACATTTAGAATACAGTAGAATTTTACAAGTTTTAACGAAGTCGTTTAATTCGCATACTGGAAATGAAATAAGGGTGACGGTCAAAAGGTAAGACAAAAAAGAAAAATTCTTTTAATTTCACAGTGTCAAAAAATATTTTTCTGAGGTGCGATGATGTTTGAAGATGATGATCTTTACTGACTTACTGACATTGAAAGTTAAAGTCATGTCTTTAACTTTTTAAAATGAACCTTTGTCTTTTTTGCTACTTCTGCTACTTCTATGTAAAATACTTACTTATACAAAGCTTCCCATTTCCCTAGATGTGTGGCTTGCCCTGTGTGAAGGAGTGTTGTATTTGTTGTAACAAATGTCACCAGATTCTTGCAACATTATCACAAGTTTCACTTCTGCAATGTGGTATGCCCTCACTTCCTGAGGAACGCAAGTTGCATGAGCAACCTTAGTCTGCTAGCATCTTGATCTGTGTATTGAAATCCACTGTAACTTACTTCACAGAAAATATTTCACTATACATAAATTATATGCATACAGTCTAACAGTTAACACCCACAAAGGACAATAAGTGTGAAAGAGCAATGTGTGCCGTACAAACGTTATGTAATATGAATATTTGGTTGCATGAGTATTTTTTCTGAGGTTTAAAGATTTATTGTGTGTGTCCTGCCGCAGATTTGCTGTTAGAGGAGCTGGCCCTGAATCCAGCGGGTTCAGACAGCGTCCCTGAGAAAAAGAGCAATGATGCAACAAAAAGAGAAGTAAAAAGACAAAACTCATTAATCATGAGCTTATCCTGTTTCTGCTTTATCCCCCATTTCATTTGTAGATGAACCTGGAATTCTAAAGAAAACAACTTAAAACCTAACATGTAATTTAATTTCTTTAAGTACAGAAACTTCAGTATATGTTGGTTGTGTTCGCAGGTGCCAAGTGAAGTTTGTGTTGGAACTACCAAAAATGGAAAAGCCTCAAACTCCTCAAATGTGTACAGGTGAAGTTCAAAGTTGAACCCGATTCATAGTGGTGCTGCATGAAGATCATTAGCTTAATAATTTAAATAATACATTTTAATTAATTTATGTATTTCTTTTTAGCATTTTAATGCTAAGGTTTTTCTTTCATTCAGACCACACCCAAAAAGAGGAGAGCAAATACAATGAAAATGAAAGCATTGTTCTTCAGCATATTCTGGCCTTTATGTAGATGTGCTTTATTTTCTTAAGGTCTAAAAGGTTAAGAACTTCCAGTTATATTTTTGCTATGGTTCAGAAATGCAACCATTTCAATTATTAATGATGTTACAGGATGTCAGTTTTGCATTTTATAACATTCGTGTTTTTCCTCTCTGGGATTTAGTGATGTTCCAACTCCTGTGCCAGCTTTTGTGGAACCTGACTCACCGACTCAGGAGCTGGACTCAATCTTGCAAGACCTGATGGGTCTAGCTGAAGGGGTTAGTACTACCCCAGTGTGGAAATACATATTTTATAAATATTGAACGTAATCTGTGTTGCCCCTTTGAGCTTATTTATTTTAGTGTGAAGCCTGAAAAACTATGTCTATCTATTTTCAAACATTAGTAAAATGACATGGTTAACAACAGAGGGCAGCATTGTACTTATATCAGACTCAAGCTCTTGGACCAATAAGCATTTTGTTCTTAAGCATTAAAAATACTCTGATTAAATATAAAATAAATATAATAGACAGCTAATATATTTTGAGGAAATATGTACATAAAACTGTTATTCCTACATTTTGTACCATAATTTAGGATCTAGAACCTCCAACTGACCCACCATCACTTACACAAAAAAAGCAAACAGAAGGTGGAAAACAGGCGAGCAGCAGCAGCAGCAACACTCCAGCGGCTTCAGATGGAAAAGCCACAACGCAAAGAAAGAAAACGGATATGATAGATGACCTGCTGGGAGGGTTGAGCACTGACTTGGAGAAGATCGGTGTACGGACCACAGCCAAGGGCCACTGTGCTTCCTGCAACAAATGCATTGTAGGAAAGGTACAATCTGGACCTACAGGACACAAAGAAGAAAATTTGTCACACTGGTACCAAATTGTGGAAATTCAAACAAGATGAAAGAGATCAAAACCTCTTGTTCCCTCTTTCACTGACATTTCCTTTCTCCAGATGATCACAGCACTGGGTGAAGTGTGGCACCCCGAACACTTTGTGTGTGCGGTGTGTAAGATGGAGCTGAGCACCACAGGCTTCTTTGAGAGAGACGGACGGCCGTACTGTGACAAAGACTACCATCAGCTCTTCTCACCACGCTGTGCCTATTGCAAGGGGCCTATTATGCAGGTGAGGACAACTGTATTCATATATAACCCTGCCTCTGCATAGAAAGTAAGATTAAAATAAAAATAGGTGTTAATATGATCTCCACTAAAGGATGAAATTTCATGTTTTAATGAATTCACTTTGGTGGAAAATGCACATAGAAAATGACCAAAATACCAATCTGGAACTCTCTGGTATCTAAATGTCACTCAAATTCAGCTGCGCTGTTGTTTGATTTAAGCTATAATTTGTTCTGTCATATAGTATATCAATTTATTTACACAATAATCTTTTGAAGATTGGATGATGACATACAGTAGTATGTAATCAATTTTTCTCAACATATCCCACATGTCATCCTAATAGAGAAAACACAAAACCATACTGGGATTCTGCTGCAGACCAAAGTCATTAATCAGAAACTAATGCAGCTTCTTCTATGTTCCACTTTGTGTGTTTCACAATTCACATTTTTGTGTTCCCCGACATTTGAACATGTGAGATGAGACAAACCTTACTAATCCTCAAAGGAAGTAAATTTATGATATAATATTTTGGGCTGCTTTAGAACATCGTGACAGCTCTGGACCAGACCTGGCACCCAGAGCACTTCTTCTGCGCACACTGCGGAGGCTTGTTTGGAACGGAAGGTGAGAGATTTGTGGATTATTTCTCTCCAATTGAAACCACAACTTTAGCAAATAACTCACTGCATCTTATGCCTATCCTAGGTTTCCTAGAGAAGGATGGGAAGCCATATTGTTGTAAGGACTTCTACTACCTCTTTGCTCCAAAGTGCTCAGGCTGTGGGGAGTCGGTGCGGGAGAATTACCTGACTGCAGCCAATGGCACCTGGCATCCAGAGTGCTTCGTCTGCGCAGTGAGCCTCTTACCTCAGACCACACACACAGCTCTGGCTTGCATACGAGCCTGAGAATAAATGAGAAAAGATACCCGCACGTTAGCTTTATTTGCAACATTTTGACCTCAACGCTGATGAAAACCATATGCCTGATGAATACTCTGCTGTTAGAAATGATGCAGATAAATCAAGGAAGTGTATTCCTCAGTGTGGGTATCTTTTACATTCTCTTCAAATCTATTTCTGTATGTAGCATCTGGTCAAAAATGGTTCAATGTGCAGCTCTGCTTTACTTAACATGTGCAAGTGTAAAACATAAAATGCCATCAGTAGTAAGAGACAAGCAGGAGCAACTGTAATATTAAGAATGTATTCATTGTTTTTCTGGCAGGTACTGAAATATGAGGTCCATAAACCTGACCATAAAACATATAAAGGACATTTTATTTCTTAATACCTATCACTTAAAATTATAATTAACATATCTTAGCTAATCATTAATCACAAACACCAACTACAACTACTTATTTTATACAAACCAGTCATTATCAATAAGGTCAGTTGTACCTGCTACCTAATAACCTAAAACTAATTCCAGCAGGCTGAAGGTCAGACACTCCATAAAAAAGGATGAAGTGGACACTCAAAGGTGGAGACTTTTTAATCAGCCTACTGATAAAAATAAATAAAACAGGTCATACAATTTAGGACCCTTGAACTTCCCCGCCACTTTTTCTGTTTCACAGCAACAGTAGAAACGTTTCCATACCATGAGTCATTTGCGTCCTGTAAGCCCCAGATGAAATTCCCCTGAAAGAGCAGTCATTAACACGGCTGTCACAGTGTTATTCTCATCACACATTTGCTAGTCATTAATTGCTTTAGTTTGACTGTAATCTGTATGAAATCAGGCTAAAAATGTGACGCAACATCTATTGTTTTAGTTTGTTTTGTCACCAACACTGAGCAAACCAGCCCTTTGATGGACACAGATAACTCAGGTGTTCCAAGGCTTTGGAGCTGCTCATGCTGGTCCACAGTCATTGCTTACAGTGCATAATAAATGGAACAGTGCCACTGGTGATGTTAAGAGTTACACCTGTGCTTTTACTGCTACGGTATGACAAGTCAAAGTGTCGGCCAAGAGAAACGACCATAATCAAATTCAGTGCTGTACATGTAGGTTCCAATTATGCTTTAGCGGTTATTAACAGATTGTTAAAAGAAACACAGTTGTAACACTCCTTTAGTTTTCATATTAAAGGTCCATGCCATGTGATTTTGTGGCGCCGTCACTTCATTATCTGGCTGTAACAGTCAACCATTTTCCAGGCGCTTGGTTTCCCTTCACATCGTAGACATTTAAAATGAATGATGGATTTAAATTCTTTTACTTTCTCTCTAAAAGATATCACTCTGCTGTATGTTAAGCAGTGTTGAGTATGACGTGTGGGTTGGGTTTGGCATCACTGTGTCTAATTGAAACTGTTATAGAAAAATCAAGAAAGTTTAACTGTTGGAAGTTTAAACTTCTTCCTCCATAACACCATGCCTAATTTTACATAACGTTCTATCCTCCCTACTTCCCCTCTTCCTCTACGCAGGACTGCCTGAAGCCCTTCACTGATGGAATTTTCATGGAGCTCAATGGTCGTCCCCTCTGCTCGCTTCACTTTCACTCCAGGCAAGGCACTGTGTGCGGTGGCTGCGGAAAGCCCATCATCGGCCGCTGCATCTCTGCGATGGATCGCAAGTTTCACCCCGAGCACTTTGTGTGTGCCTTTTGTCTGCGGCAGCTCAGCCAGGGCATCTTCAAGGAGCAGAAAGGGAAACCATACTGCTCAGCTTGCTTTGACAAACTCTTTGTCTGAGATTTGCACATGAGTAAGATGTAAATAATACAAAACAGCAACAAAAACAACAAAACATTCAAATGCTACATTACTATCTTTGTTGAGTTTAGACTGTCTCGTCTGTGTATGAATGACAAAATAAAATGAAGCGATTGTACAGTCTCTACATTACAATTCATTGTTCTATTTGTATATACAAATTCTCAGTAGATCATATTTAAAAACCATTACGGTGAATTACATGATAAATAGCATGTAACCGTAAGAAAAACATACATTGATCATGGATTAAATGAAGGGAACATGCTAACATTGTTACTTAATTAATTAGATGGTTATGAAAAATACAAATTTTCCCCATTATAACAATAAATGTGAGGACTGAATGGTTCTAAAAGGTGTATTGCTTGATGTAAAATTTATGGGATTTCATACATCATGATGACAAAATTTATAGGTGGAGTAAGAATAACACATGTGTGCTGTTTTAGTCCACGCTTTCCATTAAGCTACCCTTAGTTTGCCGTAAGACTTGGCAGTCCAGATATGCTCTCTCGCAGTATGGAACCGTTTGTCAAGGTGTTTGTCTATGTGGCCTGATAGCTTGTATTGGCAGTAACTGGCACTGAATCGGCATGCCAGCCCGAGTTTCCCCTTACCCTGACTGACCACTTGGCCTCTGGCGTGCACTGAATTCAGACAACCTCTTCATTTTCCACACAGGCTCTTTTATAGCTGTGCACGGAAGATTAATAGAGGTGGTGAGGTTAACAAAGGTGGTTTGAGAAAAAGCTCCTTCACATCACTGCATCTCTTTAGAAACTCATTTTGACTGCTGAGGGATGACAAAACCACAAAGTGTTTTAATGCTTTTTAGGCTGTCGATGTATTTGGGCTCATTTTGTTATTGGCAGATGGTGCAGATGATACGTGACAGCGAAGCATTTGCAGCCCAGTTGGGATGTACTGTTGTTCTAATAGAAGACAGATTTCTTTCGTGTGAATATTGTAATCAGTTCTGCAGAATCACATCATGAGAAAGTTTGGACTAAGCTTTTGAATTCTCTATCACAACTTATGTATTTAAATATATTCACTTCTTCTTTGTCTGATTATTTTTTAGCCAAATTGCTTTTATCTGATATCAAAATTTTGCTGAATTTTTGACTGAAGAATCAGTTAGCTAAATAAATTGAAGGCTAGTTTCTTCTAGTATGATGTATTACCAAACTTGCCAAAATGTTTTCACTGTTATTATCCCTAAAATAATGAGTTCAGTGTTATTGTCAGTGCCAAACTGTGTCTTATCTTATCAGTGATCTTCAGATGAACACTGGCTACTTTTCTAAGCTTTCTTAAGTTTTGCTTAAGCAAGCCACTTGGGCTTGCATGTGATGTTAGTGTGTGAGCGGGAATGGAGGTGTGCATTAATCATGCTGTCATCACTTTCAGACCAGGTCCCTTATGGCCTCTACAGAATATAGACCTTGCATCATGGAAGAACTGTGACTGTGTTATGTTCAGTCAAAATCCACAATTGTAAGTGTTTAGTAGTCCAACATTCCTCTGCCCAGATTGCTACCAAGGACTTACTATAATGATTTTTAGAAATGCATGAAGATGCCTGACACATTTGCTGCTGTGTTTCCAGCATGAGTCATGCACAGAACATCATCTTGGGATATGATCTGATTGAAGACCTTGGCATGTAAACTGTAAAATTTCACCCTGTCATATGATAGTATTACACATATCTCTTTCTGGATGAAGCACTTTTACAAATGATTGCTATTATTTGTGGACCTGACACTCACAAAACTGTGTTATGAATGGAAAAAACCCATAATTTAATGCTATATTTCCACTAATGGCTTCAAAGAACTAAATGTAAACTAACAGTTTAAATTAAGATTTGCAAAAAACACGTGAGCATTACTCACAGCTATCCAGTCTCAAAGCAGTGACTAAGTAAAATCTGACATTCACAGAAATATATAGGCGTTATCGTATGACTTCTACAATATTTTATGGAGGATAGGGAGGAAAAGTGCCCTTTGGCACGTTTTTAAAAAAAGAGAAAACATGAAATGCAAGCAGGGGTCTTTTTTAAATGGTGGCTGAATAAAGCACACTCTGTGAAAAAAAGAGAGAGTGTAAGGCAGGTGACATTTACAGCAGTGAAACAGAGTACGGACGGTCTGGGAGCGCACTGGGCCATGAGATGGCAGCTAGAGCTCAATGGGGGACGGAAAAGGAGTGGGGAGTATATCGGGACATAATGGATACTGGTGCTGAGGGACACAGGGTGAGGAGGGCAGGGGTTGAGGAGTGTAGTTGTAAGAGTTTCCCTTGTGTGACACTGAAACTCAACACTCGCCTCCTCTCCTGTAAAATGACTGTGTCCGCTTGGCCACCCCTGATGGGGATGGAGGGGAGTCTTGTCCAGATCCATACAGCCCCACTGCAGGTCACACTTGGCTTGTCCTGCCATACCTAGTAAACCGAGAAACTTTGAACTCATAACTGTCAAACAGGACTTTGGCTCAGACCAGCACATTAATCAAGACATTTGCTTCTAGACACATCCATGAAAAACACCATCTTGAAACACCTCCGTTGCAGCTTTGTCCTGACATGGTGAAATTACAGCTTCAGTCCGAGCAGTAAAACGCAGACGGTTCAGGTTACTGCAACATCATTACCGGTACTGTCAATGCACAGCATATTTCTAATAAATGTAAACAAGTGAGTGGATGTGTTAGGTATCTAGTTAATGAAGATAACACAAAGCAAATGACATCTAATTTAAAGTAACAAAACTTAAACTGAATGAATTTGTTACATCTTTGTTGGGATAATAGATAATTAGCATCAGTTTTACACTGCTAGCATTCTAGAACATATACAATTTGAGATATACACAGGTGAGATGGCAAAATTCAGTCAGGCCACAACTTTTCAAAACTTCTCTCTATTGCTGGCCATTCCAAAATATATTCTCTCAGTAAACGAGAGCTTCATGTCTCTTTCTTATCATGCAAGAAATGCTCATTCATACATTATAGAACAGGAAAGCCTCCTGTTATTCTGATATAAAGACGTGTCATTAACCATCTACGTATACTGAGGATAATGCACGTCTCAAAAAACATTAGCGCCTGTTACCCTATGAAATGAAAGGGTTTCTGTGTAAGAGATTTACATGAATCCATTTTCAACAGCAGAGGAAAAGTGACAACTTCAACACCTCGGTAATTACTTCCACACAGAGAGAAGTTTAGCTGGAGTGCGGCTCTACTTTGGGTGTGTTTGTTTTGGCCTTCTGCTAACACAGGGTCACAGGTATCGCACCTGATTCATGACTGCCTCCTCTGTCCAAAGGGAACTTCTTGTTGTCCTTGGCTGAACACTGAGTTCCCCTCACTATCTCACACTCCCTCACACACCAGCAGACGTATAAATGCACACACACAAACCTCACAAACTTGTAAATACTATTTGGGGATTTTCTGTTCGTGCCATCTTGGATTTGGTTTACATAATCACATACACAGACATGCACAAAAACAACACATGAGTGGAAAAGGCTCTGGCCACATATTAGGAATAATTTAAAAAACAAACAAACGTATGCACGCTCCCAAATCAGTTCAAACATGTGCGGACTCTTTGGGTTTGGTCAACAACATCACGCACAGATGCAAAACACATGCACATGCATAAATATATAAATGGCTTTTATTAGTTTGGTGTCTGTCTCTCAGTCTCTCTCTGCACAGCCTTCTTTTTTTAGTGACACAAAGCGTATCTGTACGAACATCACTGCCCTCCCTGTGTGCTTGTAGATCCTTAACCAAGATAACTTTAGGTCTCCAGTTTTATGGATTAAATGGAGCCAGCTCCAGAGGTGGACTTAATGGGTGGTTCCCAAGACAACTTCACCTTCTTCTCCTGTTGCTTTGCTACACATCTTTGTCTCATCTCCCTCACATCTTCTGCCAAGTGTCTCAGCTGGACCTCCATGCTCAACAAGGAAGAGCTTGGAGAAAGAGAATGAGAAAGACAGCATGGTGCATTTTATCTGGATCCTAATAACTCCATGGATCAAACTGGCTGGGGTTATGAAAAAGATTTATAAGACAGTCAGTTCCTTCTGTATGCTAGACTTTAGTATCAAGAAGATAGATGGTTTCATTATGCTTGCTCATTGTGTCCATGTGTGGATTTACTGCACAGTGTGCCAAAACTTTACACACTGTGATATTTTCAGGGAAACCTCTCTTGCAATCGATGGATCACTTAATTAAAGCCTTCTCGTAACTGTTAGAACATGCTTTGAATGGTGATAAACCTGCAGTGATTTAGTTTAGTCTCACATGTCACTGTTTTTCCAAATATGGTCCAAAGGTAAAAATTAGGTAACACATCTCAGTCTCTGTTGGAGCTCCGCAGGTGCCCTCTGTTGTTTGTATGAAAGATGCTTGATAGTTAGGGCCGGAGCTTTGGTTCTTTAAGTTGCAAGGGTAAGGCTTGAACCAGAGGTCAGACATTGAGCATAACAGTGCTTATGTAGCTCTGATCCAAATCCACCGCCTTTGTAGCAGCCACAGCATGGATCATTATAAGATTTGTTTTAAGGAGTGATGGTTAACCGCAATGCAGCCCTGTTGCCTAAGAGTTGAATGGTCTCCTGGGTTTAGACAAACTTGGAAACGTTTGTTTAGGGCTGGGAAGCCCCACCAGTGGAAGATCAGGGTTGGCTTGTTGATAAATCACAGCCGCTGTAGTAAGAGCCCAAAAGGCCAGCTTCTAGTCAAACTTCACACTAGCCCGCTTTGAAAATCAATCTGAAACTTTGTGGGAGCAAATACCATTTTAACCCTGGAAACACCAATAGAAGTTTACCACAAAATCATTAGCAGGTGTCTATTTTACAGCACCTCTGGTAAGTTTGACTGCATGTTAATTTAATTTGCACTGAGAGGATTTCGGTTTGCCCAGGTGACGGATAAATTAGCAGCTCACTCAAAAACTTTGGGCTGGTGGAGACATTTTTGTAATTGCTAATCCCCCAATGCTTTCTGTGACACCTTGTTCCCACTAAACCCATTAAGACGCAATCATAAGCCCTCATCTGAACCCAGGCTTAACCAACAG